AGAAAGGAGAAATACTCCAAATTTGAAGGTCAAAGATAGAAATTGAGATTTTTTTGTGTATCTATGAACTACTTCTTTTTCCAAAATTCAAAAGTCATTTGAGAGAATTCTTGGGATATTTGAGATTTTCTAAGGGACCAAAAACATTGAGAATATGACTGAGAATTTGCATAAATTTTGTACCAAAAAAAAAAAAAAAACCCTAGCAAATTAGTCTCTTATATGAGATTGTATCTAGCTATTTAAACTGGTAGAAAATCAAGAGAATAACTAACGCTTATTTCATAGATTGCGCCAATTAAATTTACCAACTAAAATGAATGCAAATATATCACATTATATAATCTAATCAGAGTTAAAAAGACTAAATGTATGCTTACTTTCAAATGATTTTAGGTACTGGACAAATTTGAATGGCTTGAGCATGTTATAAAGTAAATAATGCAGATCTAATGTGAGTATTAAAATGATTGCAGCTGGGAGCTCTAGTTTTTCTGTCTTGAAATTGTATAAGACTTTATGTGATTAAATTCACAACTTATTGTTTGTCTATATAGTATTTTACAAATATGCCAACACTACTAATTAATTTCTTTTATTTTATATTACGATAAAGTAAGGTTTTCTCTTAAATCAAAACTGAGAAATTAATTAGCCTGATGAGAATAAACAGCTCCCACTCTGACAGGTGGTTTTGTACAGGGAAATATAGTACTATTTACAGTTTTCTCGAGCAGTTGTACAACCAGGGTACAGAGAGTTGAAATTTAATACCAAATACAGTAAAAACAAATGTAAATAAAGAAGTATATCATCAATAAAAACTCTTACCTTGTATGGTCGTATTCTATTCAGTAATCCATCAGCGTCCAAAGAATAGGCTAGTCAGGTGAATACCTCAAAGTATTCAGGACAGAAGTAATCAAGCATAGTAGGATCATGAAAGCCAGGTTCTCACATGTTCTTTCCTGAAATTCTGAGAACCACCCCTCCCCAGCCTAAGGCTCTAAACTATGACCTAAGGAAGTTGCCATCTCTAATCTGCCACCTTTCAAGAAGGCAGGATCCAGCATGCCCGCTGCAGCTAACATGCTTGCACTTTGTTACTCAGAGGAGCATTGGCAGAACATGCTAAGTTCTCTGCTGCATACTCCAAATGATCCTTGGGCCATGAACAAAGTCATTCTGAGACACTCAGCAATTATATTGGACATAAAATAGCTTCACTAATGTATCCAAACTTGGAATGGTAGCCACTAAACAAGGGAGAAGGAGTTGCTTGGTAAAGTAGGTTTCATCTCTAAGAAAATCCAGGAAGAAGAATTGAGCTGCCAAGTTCCAATTTCCAATGAGCACGTGTTGACAAAGAAAAAAAGTGGTTCAAATAATGGCTTCTAATTAATCATATTTGTGGATGTGCCGAACAATGAATTGTATCTCTGATTATTTTTATCTGTTGTCTTTATGGCAAAAAATGCCCTCTCCATGGGATATAAGTAGTCCATAGAAATCCATGACTAAGAAAAGCAGTATATCCAGGCTGATTCATTGCTAATTTTTTTAGTACAACAATCAATCTTTTAGGGCCGGGGAGATAGCTCAGGAGAATAAGCGCTTGTCTGGCAAACATAGAATCCTGAGTTCAATCCTCGGTACCGCAAAAAAAAAAAAAAAAAAATCGTTTTCTATGGACTTATCCATCTCTGTAAGAGTTGTCCCACTCATTTGGAAGGTCATTAGACTGAACCATATGAAATTATAAATGTTTAAATCCTTTGCCTACACAATAGAACACAGGGTGCTCTAACAGAGGAAATGAGAACAAGGGAAAATAGGTTTCAGCTAGACAGATATAACTTTTAATGGAGTTGCAAGTATGTTACAAAGTGCTAGAAAAAATTTGAAGTCATTGTTTATGTTTGTTTACAAATTACCCCACTTAAATCCATCCTAGACAGCTATGACATATTGAAGAATATTTAAAATTCTCAGGCTCCAATAAGTTTTAGGAACTGCCTTTTTTGTTATAGTAAAATTGTTTATGTGGATATTTGTAATAAATAATTTATTTTCTAGAACAAGAAGAGTTTTATGTATATGTAGTCTCATAATACTTATTTGTTGAATGGGAATTTGATCTGTATTTTCTTGTTCTACTCAAACACTTATTTTAAAAAAATGGATAGAAATATAGAAAAACTCATCTTTGTTGCTGATATGTGCATTGAAATAATGGCAAAGAAGGAAATTGATTTCATGAGTTTAATCCCTGAACAGAACTACCATTCTGAGTAACTCTTCTACTTAACAATGACCTCATGTGAGTCAGCCCACAGTATAAATTTTTTGATTTCTTGAAATTAAATAATATCTTTTATTTTCAAAATAATTTCATAGCTCAGACTAGGTACACAATAAATGCAAGAATCTGGCAACCAATGAAACATCACAGTTCATCCTGAATAAGAAATGAATATTTTCTTATTTAGATTTCTTAATTTAGATTTAATATACAAAATAATTAAATCTTTGCTTCTAGACAAGCATTAGAGGTAAAGAAGAAACCTAAAGTTATCAGAAAACCAAAAGAATTTAACAATGAGTCATACCATATTTTGACCTATATAATTGAAGAGTTTTTCTAGTTGTGACAAAAGTAAAAAAGAATATATACTTTTCACATCAAGAAAATAATAAGCTAGGGCAAAAGGGGTCCTAAACATGTAGGAGGGTGGAACCTAAAAGAAAGTTTAGATGGCAAGTTTATGGAACACTAAAATATTGATGAATGGGAATCTGATTGTTTTTTAATTACCAAATGTGATTATGCCTAGTTGAAACGTGGAAAAAGATCTTATTTTCCAATTCTAACTAAATGATACCAGTATCAGAACAAATTGTCCTCAAAAGAGTTTTCCATATTTTTGTTTAGCACTATTTCTCAGCATGGGAAATCTTTTCTAACAAAAAAGTTTCCAAATCCTTCAATGAAGCTATTGCTTAGATAAAGTGAATAAAAGATCCTTCTAAACCCACCAGCCAAAGGAGGGAGGCTGGGAGCAAGGGGAAGCAAAGAAATTCGGAACCCAGTTAGATTTACTTGGCAATCTAGTGTCTATAGAGATTCAGCTTTATATTCTCATTTCAGATATAACCAAACATCTTGTCATTGGTACCCAGATAGCATCATTGAGAAGATGCAGAAGCTCTTTCTCTTTCTTTCCTTTTTTTTTTCTTTCTTT